TTGTCCAGGGAACCAGACTTGGCTTGAAGACTGTCAAAAAGAAAAGAGAAACKCTGTTTTCCTTTTTTTCTGATTAAAGAGAATAAAGCATATAAAGATGGACACAGTTCAATAAGAATTCCCCTTTACTATATCACAAATACCATTTATACGACTATAAATAGAAACCAGGGATCGGATTTACCAGATAAAGCAGGATAGATTAACCGATACAAAATCTATTGAAACCCTGTTCACCCTTGACTCACCGAACARGAAAGTGGTGGACAAATCCTTTTATAACAATTAATTTGGTTGTTAAAGCACATGCACTCTTGACACTTATTGTTTGGATCTCGCCATCTTTCTCCAGGCTGAAAAAAATTTTGGGTGTTGTTACAATCATTGACGCACATGGCAATTTTGCCATTTTCACACGTAACAGCCAATTAGATTGATTGACGATATTTTTACTGTTCTTAATGTTTCTTGAATATTTCAGTCAGAACTACGTAGCTGAACATTTAATCKAGTCGGTTTACCTGTCGAATGTTTCCGTTCATGTCCTGGCAAAGACACTGAGATGGAGGTCTGCAAGTAACGCCATCGCTAACGGTACCATTTGGACACTGGCAGCCAGGTGTGCATGTGGGTCTTGCTGTCACAGGCGTGCATTTCCCCAGGAAGTGGCATTSGTTCGGACATTGGGTTTGACAGGCAACAGGTACCTTAGGCGGTTGACATGTTGGTGGTGAAGTGGTARGAGCGTGGGTTGTAGTYGGTGGAGGTTTAGTGGTTGGARTTCCACCTTTTGCGTTAGTGTAAAAGAAAAWTWTTYACCCGTTTGATTATTGCACAGGAAGTGATATGTTGTGACGTAGTAAGGTCCATTTTCATTTCTTTTGTTTGCGAAACATATCGTATAACACGACGGACCTCATGGAAACTTGAATCAAACGGATAAGAAGGTGAATTAACTAATGTGGAAAGCCTAAGGACTTTTATCTACGACCTTCAGTCTTTAATATTTCTAGATAAGGATGGAATTGATACTGAATGATTCTCAACAATGAGATACATACAGCATTCTTCATCTCGCCCATTAACRCAGTCTCGACGCCCATCACACTTCCAAYGAAGTGGGATGCAGCTGGTCGCATTRCATGGAAATTCTTGCGGTCCACAACCAAGTTTACTCTCATCCTCTGTCAATGAAATGTATATCATTACATTTAGATATAATCCATATCAGTTTGGATAATCTATACTTACTGCATTCCTTGCAGCATTTTCCTGGTATAMTAATTAACACTTGACGTTGAGCACCATGTGGAGGCTATCAAGGCAAAATCGTAACAATAAATTATTAACTTAATGTGAAATAAATCGYACTAATAAGTTTTGATGACAACTTACGCATCCAGTGTGGCAAGTTTTGTTAGGRCACATTATAACTTCYACAACAACAGTAGCCAAGGTTGGCGAGCTGTCGTCCATTTTACACTCTTTCCAGGTACACACATCGATCTGCCATCTTTCACCAGGCTRAAATGATCATTGAAATATAGCAATATCATAATCTGAGAAAGCCTTGATTTGATTTACTTACTTTCTTTTTGATTCCTTGGAACAAGCAGTACGGCTCTGAATTGCAAGAAGAATACTTCGTAATGTATGCATTTTTATCAATGAGCCAAYATCACCTCGTGTGTTGTAACAAGATTTTATATCTATTACATTGTGGAAATGTAGCGCTTACCAACTGAACAGCCGTAGAGTTCAACTCGCAGCGCTATCGGAAATCCATCGTTGTGTTGTTTGAGGGGCTTTATTCGGATATACCGAGCTGTAATTGGGCGAGGCAGGTYATTATATTTCACGATATCGAGAATGTCGTAGGGAAAATTAATCCCGTTTCCTTCAAARACCTGTAAAAATAAGATACTTTAGTTGCTTTTCATGTGAATTGATTAAGTAATCTTGACCTACCATGGTATCGCCATAGCTGTCCATGTAGTTCATCCAGTTCTTTCCATCATTGCCATGTTGTACTGTATATTTCATCACAAATTCCTCTTCCCAAGGATGACCTTGTGTAGCAATTTGAGTAACCATGGTGAGATTGCCAAGAAACACTTGAAAGTAAGGGTGATTGTCATTATAGTCCGGTTGCCATGCGTAGTCTTGGTTATGAAGTCTTCCCTGAGCCGCAGAAGCATCAATGTCGATCTGTGAAGATGATGACAAGAAACTGTCTGGTACTCTCTTGTCCTGGACACCAACACCCAGCGAATCCTTGCAGTAGGCAGCTAAATCAAAGAAGGTCAAAGTTAGTGGCGACACAAGGTTATACGGGTCTAGTAATTATCATAGTTTACCTGTTGTTGGAACTAGTGTTGTTGATGRGCGCCCTGTGGTGGCAGAGGTGGACGAAAATTGTGTGGTACTTGGTTGAGCAGCTGATATAGATATTTATACAAATGCATTGAATACAAAAAAAATAGATAAATAAAAATAAAGCAATATCTTGTAAAATTGTTGTTATTAAAAAACGAAACTGGATTCTTACTTGTTGTGGGCTGTTTYGTTTTCATAGTTGTTGGCATTTCTGTAGTTGAAGCCCTTGCTGTAGACGTTGGCATTCCAGTGCTTGTGTGCACCTCGATGGTTGTTGGCATGGTGCTAGTTGTARACSTTTTAGTAGTTAAAGGTGTTKCAGTTGTTGTTCGTTCTGCAGTCGTTGTTGGCAATTTGGTTGTTGTTGGCAGAGCTGCAAGGAAGATGAAAGTTTTTAACATTCAAATTTCCAGCAACAAGAAGTCCTGTAATTCTGTACCTGTGGTACACACTGTGCCCACACAGTTGGTCGCTTGTCCATCTTGGCATTCACTTCAAAAAAAAGACATTGTTACATCCATATAGCGTGCTATATATATAACACAATACACAGCGTTTACCATTGCTGACAGTCTTTGACAATCTTCTCCCCAGGTTCGTATATTTTTCCATTTGCTACACAAGGACAACGATTTCGTTTGATGCACTGCAATTGACCAACGGTATTAACCGTCTGTACAAAACCCTTCTTACATTCGCAACCTTCTACACAACGCATAGAACAGGTTTTGTTGAGGCCTGGGGGGTCATTACAGGTTTCTGGGCATGCTGTTACACAGTTCTTGAATTCAGCATTATCMGGACAGTTAACATCTGTAATTAAAAACAAAGATTTTGGTTATGCTTAATGAAATGGATGAATGGATGATAGATGGAAGGATGGATGGAAGGAAGTTATCTTACCACATCTGTCTTTCCTCCAGCTGATGTCAATACCAGACTTGAGACACTCGTAGGCATAWGCAGCTATAGCTTCACATGTACACTCACARTCTCCCACCATGTCACATCCACAGGTATCATAAACACAACGTTCATAATATGGATCAGGGTCGTGGTGCGCATGACATAATTGGAAGACAGCTGATTTGATTAGTGCACAAGCAGCATGGGCTTTGGGTTCCCTGTGTTTGTTCTKTTTACAAGGATGTTGAGGCTCACGTGYCTTAATGCAGTCACCTCGTACTCTCCACGAGTCGCCGAAAGGATATGGCGATGTTTCCTCGATGCCATTTTTAGCCAAAAAATCGTTGGTCATATCGCCATCAAAGTTTCCACAAAGCCCGCACACCTTGGAGTAATGCCTACTATTTGGACTCAGTTCAATGTACAGTCTTGTCCCTCGATCCCAGACCACATTCAGGCCAAATGGTGTTTTTAGAATTACATAAACACCAGCATAAACTAAAGAGAACTGAGCGCGTACTGGGGACAGACTTGCAAGACGTGTTAYGGAAGGCTTCTCTTTGCCTCGGACCATATGAATAACAGTATCGTGCAGTGTGACAGTCACGGACTTGGTGCATGTTACGCCTGTTGAACCACATGGAATGTTTTCAGCATCGACTCTAAATGACTGAATAGTTACATTTGATCCTGGACATTTATCTGTTGTCATSACATAATTGCATCCGCCTTGAAAACTGTACAGTCGGCCATCAAAAGTCTTGTAATGAGGGTCGCCAAAAGCCGTGCATGTACCTGAAATTGTCAAGGTTGGTTAAAACTCCATTTGTTTAGCTTTTTGCAAAATACTTCAGCGAAGCTGTGCGACTAAGTCGTTTCATTCAGGTGATGCAGTACATACCTATGCATTTTTTACTGGTACACTGCCACACTTTGTTCTTGCAGACGCTAAAGTATCAATCGTAATTATGGYTTTTGTATCGTCACTTATCATAAGATGTGCAAACTTAACACTTACCATGAATTACAGTCTTTCTTAATGACGTCACCGGACTTATACCTCTTACCGTTGAACTGACATGGACAGCTGTACGCAGGTATGCATCTACCTTGTTCTTCGACAAACCCTTCTGGACAGACGCATCCAGCTTTGCAGATTACATTGTTGCAGCTCATTTGAATGGTTTTACATGTCTTTGGACACTGGGCACCACATTCCGTCCATACTTGTCCCCTTGGACACTGTTTCTCTGTGTTAAAACCATGACATCCCATTAGAGTTGAAACACGTTCTACCTTTATATCAACTTCAAGGCTTTATATCAACTTCATGGCTTTATATCAACTTCAAGGCTTTATATCAACTTCAAGACTTTTATTTATAGATATAACAGTCCTGTATATCGGCATTTTTCATCGAGATCCTAATGGTACCTTACGGTCATTATTTTTAATGTAATAACAACTAATAATTTACTCTTACTCTGGCAAGTTGTGTTTGTGCACAGTAACTTTCCTCTGCTGCAAATACTATTCAATAAATAATGTAGTATGTGCGTTAGTATAGTATATACTGGTAGCATTAATATACATATCCACTAAACACTAATGAAATTTTACTAACCAATCATTACAGTCCATCTTCAAACGTGCATTGTACATGTAATGTCTACCAGCTTCATCGTAGCATGGACAGTACGCAATATCTACACATTTCCCCTCTCTTKCGTCATAAAGTTTCCCTTCTGGACATCGACACCCTGGTACACAATGGCTTACACAAGAATGGTTTTTGATTGACAGATCTTTGCATGACGTCACACAGGAAGATCCACATTCCTCATGCACCATTCCAGACGGACATCGTACCGCTAAGTACARAAAATGTTCATTAAMAAAAGAATTCTGACATAACTGTGAAGTGTAAATTGGTCTTTTAAATACATGAATTATAAATATCGTWTATTGCAGAAAGTATTAAATGTGACGTACGGCATGTATCGTTGCTCCGCCAATTCAAAACCACRCCCTGCATCGTGCACTGTCTTACATAAGCCTCCAACACAGAACAATGACAGTCTCTTTGTCCATTGCAGCTACAAACATCATATTGGCAGTYTTCGATGAACGGTTTGGGATCAACATAACCATGACATTTGGTGAAGGGAGGCTGTTCGAGCTTTCCACACTGCTCCTCGGCGTACTTTTTGTTTTGGAGGTAAATTTCACAAGGTTTGAGTTTTACTTTGTCGTTTGCAAYGTCGGGACAATTTCCCTCTGACCAGSKRTTGGCAAAACTAATCGCTGATTCTTCCACTCCAAAATCATCTCTTGTATTGAAGTTGTAGTTMCCACAAAGTCCTTGGACCTATASCRAATGGCAAAGACAGTAACGTAGAACTTATGCAGCAAAATAAATTATACGAGAGAGAAAAAAAAACAGGAACCAGACAGGACGTTATCTGGTTAAAATATGAGAACTTCATTGGATGATCATACATAGACAAAAATTATACACAAACGAAATCATCTACCTTCCCAGAATGCCTCGGTGTAATTGTAACATATAAATTGTTTAATCCATCCCATGTGACGGTGAGTCCGATGTTACCATGGAACTCCACCAAATTGGAAGAAAGCCTTCGAAAATGAAACCCTGTCTTCCTGTCGTACACCGGCATCAACAATGGCTGATTGTTGGATTTATCTTGGTACCGGATGTGAACCGTGTCTTTAAGAGGATGGTTATGAACCAATGAAATGCTTGTATTCATGTAATTAATTWCTGCCGATTTGRCACAACTGCTCTTTTGATTGGATGAACAAGAAGCAGTGTTGATGACGACAGAGAAAGAACTGTCAAGAGATTCAACCAATCGGTATTGACATTTTCCTTCAAATGAATAGGCTTTGCCATCGAACGTAACGTAATGTGGGTCACCATAGGTGTAACAAGTTCCTATGTTATTATACATTATTAATATAAAGCATAAAATCGTACAAAGATTGTGTATATTCAAGTTATTTATCACTGTCAGTGTATAAAGTATCTACCTGGACATCTATTTTTTGTACAAGACCATGTTCCACCACTACACTGACTGAAATACAAGTAGCAATGTTATAATTTATCTCTAGAAGCAAGRTTGCAATGCCATTACCAATACATACCATGTATTACAACCCACTCGTATTGTCGTTCCACTTGGATAGTCAATGTCGTTATGATGACAAGGGCACTGACTTTGCAATAAACACTGACTGTCTGGTCCTTGGACACTTCCCAAGGGACAATGACAGCCATCTATACATGTCTCTTTACATGTTGGTTGCAGTGTATCTGTATCGCAGGTCTTTAAACACGCCTGTCCGCACTCTAAGTAAACTTTAGACTTGCTGCATTTCTTGGCTTCAAAATGAAAAATATTATTTGTCTGTATACATCCAAAAATCTTTTTTTATTTCTTTATTTGGTACTTACGACACAAATAGTCGCTCCTCCAGTCCAGCGGTATTCCTTCATTGGCGCATGCACGAGAATATTGTGTTAAAGCTTCACATTGGCAGGCTGAGTGCTGACCGAATTTGCAAGAACACACATCAATCTCGCATCTTTGCACGAAGCCTTTTGGATCGACTTTAGGATGACAAGAACTGAAAAGTTCTCCAAGTAAGACCATACAAATTCGTCGAGCACTAAGGCTGACAACAGGACCTGCTTGCTTACAAGCATCCATTGTTACTRGCTTAGCTGGTGAGCATGTCTCTTTAGGGTTTGGCATTGCCCAGCTATCGGCCAGTTCTGCGATATTAGATGCCCGTTTATTGGATGACGCTTTGATGATGTCATCATCAGATATTCCGTTGTAGTTCCCACATAAACCACATGTAGTATTTTTGTATTTATCAGCTATTGATATATATACACCAGACACACCATCAAACTTCACTTCGATTTCATCTCCCAAAGCACGCATTACGAAGTATGACTGTATTTTTGATATCGAAACGCGAGCATCTTTGTACGGGACTGTTATCATCTTGTTATCTACCGTTAGAAGACTGCCTGTCCCCATTTTGTAGACTTGTTCATTGATGTACATCAACACAGCTCGTTTGCACCCATTACCACTCTCAACACAGCTTCTATCGTTTTCGACGTGGATTGAGAATTGATCAGAACCGGGAATACAGTCTTTAACTAGTGCATAGCTACACCGACCAATGAAGTCCAAGTGTAGACCATCGAAGGTGCGATAATGAGTTTGTCCCCATGTCAAGCAATGCCCCTCTTCCTTGATTCTTACTGCTCGAGCTGCACAATGATAAAAAAGACCTTGAGTTATTAGTCATAGGACTAATAGCAGTAGAAGGATATCCTAACCTTCTCTTACGTGGACATCTATAGGAGTGTCTAGTAAGGACGCTTCTAAAGGACGAGTGGATATGTCTACAAAAATAATATAAATCAAGTAAGTAAATAGATGAAAAGCAGAAATACTTGATTGATTGACACGCAATCATTATTTCATAGTATAATATTCTTAAAACACTGGAGAAATAAGAAGACAGTCAAGGCATGGTAATATACAATAAAAATACACAATGGCGTCACCTTTCTCGCAGCGCTTTCCCGCATGAGTACCACCACATGCACAAGTTCCAGGAGACACACACATACCACCATTCAAACAAGKAGGAGTGCACGTTGCTGATGACAAGTAATCACGAGTAWTAAAATKCTAAATTCAATGAGCTTTTTCTTTTAACAGAGACAATAATTACGATCATAACTGCATGGCATATTTAYCGTAATCAACGGTATTTATCGTAATCATGTATCAATAGAAATCGATTTTATCAATACCTATTTCACAGTTAGCCCCCTKCCATCCAACTRAGCATGCACACGTGTCTTGTTCAACGCAGGTCCCACCGTTCAAACAAACAGGGTCACAGACTGGATCTATGTAAAGCAATATGGTACCAATAAATATTTRAAACRTGRTCACGTGATATTATATGACGTCATACCTGTTATTGGCTGGTCGCAATGTTTTCCTTGAAACCCCTGGCAACATTGAGCCATGTCGAGGTATTTTATCAACCGTGGAACTACTTTTTTGTTTGGAAAACTTTCTTTCCTGATATGAAATATTGATTAGTATAAATACGTAATAGAAGGTTAATACGAATTGTCTTGTTATCAAGGTAATGGTCGCTAAGACGATCACTTATATGCTGCTATAGTTACTGCTAATGTTTTCTTCAAAGGTGAATTAAAGTTTAACTGTTTTATTATTTTTGTCTTTAGCAACCCAATTAAATTGCAAGCATGGAAGCGTGAATTCAAAAATGTAGCCTGAATTCAAGGATATTACAAAAA